TGATTTTTCTCGCATACCAACATCATCGAGCCGATCGATTATCGAAACCAACCAAGTGCTCTAAAGTTGCCAACATTGCGCCGAGGCTGACCTGATGAGATATAATCGGTGTGCAAAGAACGGTTCGGAAATATGGACTTTCATAAATTAAAACGTAAAATAAGTCAACTAAAATAATTTATGTTTGCCTGAAATACTTCTGCAAACAGTTATACTCACATATTCTCATAGGAATATATTTGAATTTAAAAGAAATTAAATTTAGAATTTTTATTATTTATGAGTTTTAAAATATATATTTTCTTAGAAATTTTCTTAAATGTTAAAACTTTCATAATTGTACTAATTAAAAATTCTTCCGATAGAAATAAATTCTACATGATTTTATCCAAAGAAATCAGTTGAGATATTTTCGGCGGATAGTTCTGTAAATGTTTTTCAACAACTTCTTTTGGTATTTTAGAATTTGTGCTACACTTGGTCTTGAAGCGAACATTAGAAAGTATAACGGCGGCTCACGTATTATTGTGCGCGCTACACGCGATAATCATAGTAATCGAGTCGAGTTATGCCATGGCACGAAACGCGGCGCGAATCACTTCAAAATTGATTCGGGGAGATAGGCTTTTGCGTGACGCTGTACCTTTCGTCGATCATCACCGACAAGCATCGTCTTTGTGGTTCTGAAGACTTGGGGATATTATTTCAGGTTCTTGTCATACAAAGAGATTCCTCTGAAACAGAACACCCAAATACAATCCTTAGATCTAAAGATAGGGGAAAATATTTAGATAAAATCTCAATGGTTTCAGGAAAAGAAAAGTAATATATATGAAGATAATATACTCGGAATACTCGTTTTTATTGTTCTTAAATAGAAATATATTTTTTAAGCAAAACTGGAGAGCTACTTTTTTTGAGACTAAAATTTTTTGATCTATGAATAGTTTAAATTTTCTCATTTGATATTTATGAATGTTTTTTTGGTTTTATTTTTGTTTTACTGTAACGATGATAAAAAACATCGATAAAGTGAGAAAGAAAAAGTTACATATTACACTAGTATTACCGTAAAAAATCGCGTCATCTACACATATTTAGAGCGGGAACAGCGTAGTTATCGATCGGCGACGGCGCCCTTTAACCGTTCTTTTCACCACGTTGGTGTAAATGCGACAAATCGTCCGTCAAACCAGATTAAATGCCATCGTGTGTACAATCGCGTAAGCGGCCTCCGCATCGAATGTGAAAGCCGAGAATGTGATTCTGTGACGTATCTCGAACCGTCAGGTGCGTGTAAGCGAAGAGTATTTCGATATAACCTCGTTCCTTTACCTTCATATAAAATATCGATTATAAACGTAGAGTATGCGTAAATGGAATTTGTCAATTAATAATATTAATTTTTAGTTTTCAATATTTATAAATAATTTATATATGAATTTTCTCTTTGCTTATTTGTTGATTTCTAAGCATTGTAATTATTGTTTGAATTTTACCTCGCAAAAATCAAAGAAGTAAAGCGAAACAAAGAAAATTGAAACGAAGTATTTTAGAATTCTATTTGTGTGGTCTGTTTCACTATACAGTAGCTACAGTCTTGACAGCAATGTGTGTCGGCGAAGCCGGTCAAAAGATTCGCAGGTTTCACGGTCAGTCATTCATCGTTGTTGGCCGTTGTAAACGAACTTTTGAAAGCCCTCTGAGAATCCCGCCCCACTCGCTTGCCTTTCCGTTCGCAAAGATCCATCGTTCACTGCCGATGAAGTTGCCATCGATTGTCACAACCGAACGATTATTATCCTCGACGCACCGCGTCTGTGTGCCGGACCCGCCACAGCGATCAATTTCACGGGAATCGACATTTTGCCCGCCGTCACATTTCACTCCCGATTTATGACCCCGATCCTTTATTTCAATTCCCGAGATACGTTTGTATTCGATATACATTTAAACTGCCGAACGTGGCAAAAATTATTTCTCAAAATATCTAGCAAAAAGTGACGGATAAAAAAACTTAAAAAATTCTCACTCTATTCAGTCTTGTATAATTTGCCGATTTATATTTATTAAAAGAAAGATATAAATTAAATTTGTTGAAAACTATCTTTAAAAAATTTAATAATTGAAACACTATTTAGTTTTATATTTCCTGCATTGTTGAAATAAGTTACCTGTCAATATTGTTTCAATTTCTGTAGATTCTGACACAATTCAAAAAATACTTTGGAAGTGTCGGAAACATGAGACAATTTTTGTGATATTTGTAGTCGACAAATGCTACACATATTTTCTTTTTTCCGGCGGAAAACTAAAATACTAGGCAAAAATGTGTCGTGAACCGAAGGTTCGGAGAGAAAAATCCGGTCACTGGGGAAATATCTGACAATACTTTCCTGTGCGTGCGAAGTATTAAGTTTATGGAATACAGCCGGAGCCGGTGGTACAAAGGTTTAACTTTTGTCGAAGCGCGGCGTGTTATAAGCTTTGTGTAAAACAGTGCAAAAAGGATTGGAGGCGGGATGCGTGCGACGAGGCGATAGAGCGTGTCGCGGAGAGCAGTTGGGGTCGTAGGCATGCGAGACGAGCAGAAGTTAGGCAAGTTCGGAGACTGCTTTGCGCGCAAGGGGAAATCGCGGCATGAATAATGTATCGTGAATATTGTAACCGGTCTCGGGACAGCTGCTGTCAGTGACCAATTACAGTTGGCTTATAAAACAAATAAATTGATCGATCGAGTGATTGCGCATAAATTAAGAGCGCGTCCTTTGTTCGGTCGAGCTGCTTCTCTAGAAATCGAGCAACGATAATCGTCATTGTCATTGTCATTCTGGATGTCTGATGTCGAGCAGATTGAATCATGTGTCTGGGGAAACATCTCGTTGAAACAGCCAGTTAAATCAGGAGATGTCGTTCAGTTCAATTAAGTCAATTGAGGAGGACGATTAGTTACTCAGGGTTGCCAGGTGACAATTTACGGCAGTCACGTGGAAACGTGCAATTTAAGCAAGCAGTTTGCTGCTGTTTTATTTATAAAGATACAGCTTGCAAATCCAGTTATGTTTATCTACCTATCATAATAACATTACATATCATATAACGTATATTTCATCGATGCGTTGAAAGTCTGCTGTGTATTTACTATTATAAACATTTTCGATTTAGCGAAATTATATATTCTGGCCAAAAATTTCGATATTAAAGGATAGAAATTTATAACTTTAATATTTAAAATAAATATTTGCACACTTGCGAATGAAGAGATCCGGCTTAAAGAGTTAAATAACGCGATTTCGTTCGTTTTTTTCAACAAAAAACGGGCTTCAATGGCGAATCCGCGGGAAAGAAAGGCGCTCCGCAGGCGCAGTCATAACGCGGTCGAGAATAAATGTCTGAGTAACGAGAATCCAATAATGTCGCTCCCATTAAACGTCAAAGGTACGTAATTACTCGGAGGCTTGTTGGAACGTTGCAGCAAAAATCAATCGTTCTCGCGCGCGCAGCTACTGAGAGTAAAGCGGCCGCGTATATGTATATAGGAGAATAGATTAAATTTCTCAAGTGTAGCTCGGTGCGCGCGCGCCGTTAGAGTTCGCACTTTATCCAATATCCATCGATATATGTACTGGTAAGCTTCTATTTATGGAATACTCGTGTGAATAACAAATAATCCATATTTACGAGTACCTTACATATTGATGAGTTTCGCGATTGCCTGCTATGCACGATTTGATTGCAGTCAAGTGTCGCGCTCGCATCGATACGATATTGTGCGATAATAAGCTAGAATTAAAATTGATTCCGGGGACTCTAGATTTCAATGTACATAATGTCAAGCGAAACCTTATACACTGAGCGATACTTATACATTTATAAGCAATAGTGACATCTTTTCAGTTTCTCTTGGCGCGTTTGTAAGCTGTGAAAGGTCAACAGAAAGATTGAAGTAAGGTGAAGTTGAGAACTAACTTGTGTTACGCGAAACATCAATGTTACATTAAGTACTGTCGGAATGAAATTTGCGATTAATTCCCGCTTAGTTATATTATATCATTCTGACGATTATTCAACGTCACGTTTTTGCGAATCGCTTTTATTATTTGATAAATTATATCTGTGCAAGTTACAAGTGCTGATTAAAGTCAAAAGTCAATTATTTCCATTATGTCTAATGAGCGATCTTTAAATAAGACTCGCATTGCGAGTGGAATAAAAAACACGTGATGATCCAAGTCATTATTTATCTGCTTCGCGAATAAATTCGTATATTGAGTATATTGAAGCAAATTTATAAACACTCGCGAGCAATTCACTGATTGATTACGAACTGTATTCCGAATATGGATACAAGTGAGGTTCGCAAACACTTGGCGCGCAATACGTGAGACGCAAACTGGTCGCGACCTGTATTCCCAATTTATCCGTGCTGAAGTTCGCGAACAGCTTGTGGACAACCAACGAGCAGTTACAAAGTTGTTTCCCTGCCTTGTTAATATGTAGAGCTCTCAGTCCAAACTTCAACATCCAGGATTGTGTCGTCAACTTTAACTGCGAAGTTCGAAACATGTATTAATTTCGTGTTTTAGGTATACAATGAAGTTTAATTTTAAACATTTATTTATCTCTTGCCTTACGATTTAATTTGTGACCGCGCACAAGGTTGCTCGGGACAAGCAAAAATATATCAATATTAATGATGCGTTTAATTCACGTACAATGAGTCAGATTCGAGATTTCTTTTGTTTAGTCCGTAATCTATACTCCATGGACACACTTGTGTTTTTCAGTTTTGGCGTGTAATCTGTAGCGCGAGTGTCACTCGTTATTGCAGAGCGAGAGTTAAAGAATCGTATTAAAACTAATTGTTACTTTTAAAGTGAGAAGGAAAATTGGAAACAATAGACGGGCTTGAATTTTCTCGCCGTATTGTTTAGCGATTAAAGATGAAGGGAAGATTTATGCAATTGTCTAAATGCGAATTTTCAATTTTATATTTGCAGGTGAGACATTGGTGAAGATATGAAGCAGTCCTCGGAGAAAAGAGAATGAGGCTTCGTTACTTAAAGATCAGATTCAGGATGTCAAAGGATAGTGCACCATCATTTCCCCAACCGAAGTCAAGGAATTTAAATCGTGATTTTAAGGTGAGGGTAAGTAAATGTTTTTAATTGCAACTTTTTCTGTGATTTGCATACGTATTGCCTACGTATAATGTAGATTGCTGTTTTTTTTTGCCCATTATCGAATATTCTTTTAAAATTTAAAAATATTGTATTATCGATCGATCTTACGAAACATGTTTTTTAAGTAATTGATGATAAGCGTCATAAAAGCGTCAGTAGTTTTTTACTAATTCGCAAACTTTTCTGAAAAAAGATACTGTCTACTCTTATTTAACCAGGAAAGTTTATTAGTACTTTTAAGAGAATCCGTGCTCATTTTATCATGAGAGCGAGATCTCTACAAGCATCTCTTTACGGAAAAAAATTTATAATACCGACATTTCGACATATTTCCTGCCGGCGAATCCGCCGTTAACTCGCTAGACAAAGGAGCGGTTTGAACAAGAAAACCTCGTCGCGATTCGCGGAAGAAGTCGACGCGTTAAAAGTTCTTTTAACGGCCGGGAGCTTCTTTCCCTCTTTTCCGTGCCGTGGTAATTTTCATTCTTCCGACGGTGCACGGTAAGATCTTTAATGGCTTTTACGCGATAGGGAAGTCTTCGTCGGGCGTACCGCGAAAAGAAAGTATTATGAGATAGGGTTGCTAGATGTTCTGTATTTCAGCTCGATTTTGCTGTTCTGACCGGATTCGCCGAGAAATGCGATTTGTTTTGTATTTCCAACTTTTTACATTCAATTAAAGTTTATCGCGGACATGCAAATATTTCTGAAGCACATCGCGTACATCGAAATTACTGCAGTGTTAATTGAACAATATGCTGCTATTGACATTTCAAAAGTTAAAAGTTAATGTATAGGTCTATTAAAATTTCCTACACGAGACGTAAAAAAGTACCGGCTTCCATATGTACTATCTGTCCGCTATCTTTTATTCGCCCTCGGAATTAAATCACAAATAGCTGTTGCATTCGATGAGCAGGATCGATCGTCGAAGAAGAACGATCGCTTCCGAACAATTTATCTCCAGTTATACCGGAGCAAGGTTATTACAAGCAGTCGAGAGCCATTAAGGCGCAAGCAACATCTGGAGTCGCTCCCGTGATTTATATCGGCGCGAGTCGAAGGTCTTCATCGATTTTATCGCGTCGTCGGACATGCAGTTTGCGCGTCGATCGAAATACGCGCTTAGAAAAATTATAATTGCCATGTACAAATCGGGGTCCCTCTCCTCTTCTTTGTCGATAATAAACCATGACACGTGCGTGATAAAATGTCAACGCCGCGGTAACGACATCGATATCAAATATCCGATGCGCGTCCCATAAATCCGCAAATCCCCTCTGCATAAAAAAAATAAAAAGAGAGCTGACGGTTGAATTTATGAACGTTCTCGTTAGCACAACGTGACATCTCCCTTTTTTCGCCTTGTTAACATTCCGATAAGAAGTTTTCGTCAATTTAAAAAAAAATTTCAATTTATGGAAAATTATATCTTGACCCATTCGTTTAATTTTTTGGTTACGATGGAAAAGCGACATTAAAAATTGAAATCGTTTTTTGTGTGTAAAACGAATCTTTTAATTTTTTTAAATGTTTGCAAAATGGTTAGAAATTTTTAACCAATGGATAAAAGCTTTATGTGCAAAATGTGCTGTCAGGATGCCTCGTAATTCGCGAATCAAAATATTATAACATGAAAGTTCTCAAAAAACGAAATAGAAAAGTTTTTTACGATTTTTTAATCCAAGCAATAGTTTTTAAAATAGAAGAATTTAAAACTGATTAATCAAACTGTATAGTTAAACAGTCGCTTTTGTTCCCTAAGTTGCGTATATGACAATATTAGTAACTCATGGATAAGCGACCGCTTAACCATAAGGTTTGATTGATCAATTTAAAACACATTTCAAAAACTATTGCTTGGATTAAAAAATCATAAAGAATTTTTATTTTGTTTTTAGAGAACTTTCATGTTATGTATAATAAATTTTTAACAAGAAATAATACAATTTAGATCATTTTTACGCTGCAAAATTGCAAGTTTCTTGACATTTGTAGATCGCCTTCAGAGCAAAAATTCATTGTCGAGACCTGCGGCGCAAACAGGAAAAAGAATGATTGCATAACGAAAAGACGATTATCATCGGCTTGACGAATACGTGTTATCTCTGATTTTTCTCGTATAATTTATACTTAGTATTCGCTTTATCACCTTTATCTCGCAATGCGAATCAACTGCACGGAGTAATGCATTCTGCTGTCGGACCGTACGAGCTCACTACATATTTATCGACCGCGACGTGATTTGAATATGCGTCGCTGCCTTTAATGTATCCTCATTGCATTACGCTCTTATAGCACGGTAGCAAAGTCTAGAGATGTTAGAATATGAGAATATGAACCGACTACCGTTATTACGTATTACCATCCATTCCGCAAATTAGTATAAAGTATCATGAATAAAGTATCATGAATAGAAAGCAGAAAAGTGTTATAAAGGCGTTGATGTATTCAGTTGTCTGAAAGCACTGTGTGCACTGTGCTTTTAAAATTCAATTAAAAATATTAATATTTATTACTGTGTAAAAATATCAGTAAAGTAAACTGTAAAGAAAGAATAGAAAAAGTACAAGAGAAAATATATTAAAAAATTTGTAAAGTCTACTGCTAAATATGTACAGATCTATGTAGAAATTGTTTTTATCGAAATCAAAAACACGATAATAACATTAATGTAACGTTTCGATAATTGTTATCATATTTTCCACGGACAAATAGACATAAATACATATAAAACAGAATACGATTTATTTTATCGCTGTTGAAATATAGCTTTGATTTACGCAGACGTATTTATGTAGACGATACTTCATTGTGGAAACAAGCCTATCAATTATGAATTTACACCAAATGACGGTAGCCGTCGAGCTCGTCGAGCGCCAACGAACGCATCTTTCTGTCTCATTTACGGACAATTAACGCGCCGCGCAATGTACGCGGAGATTAATAAACACGCGGCGCCCACGCGAAAGGCATACAGAATGTACGAGACGGATATAATTTAGCGGCGGTTGCGAGGGGGAGCGTTAATTGAGAATGATCGACTCTTCTCGCCGCGACGCGGCTCGGTGCGACTGAAACAAATAATGGCAGTCGGATCGAGGCACGATATCGCATCGCATCTCTCTCTCTTTCTTTCTTTCTTGTCTTATTTCGTTCCGCTGCTTCGCGGCGTGGCATTTCTCGTGATTCCAATTTTTCCCCGTGCCGGTACGATAAAGAGGCCACTCTACCGCCTCGAAACAAGATTGATCGCGAAGCGTGCTCGTGAGTGCTGCGAGGGAGGGTGCAAAACACTTGCACCCACCTGGATTTTCGTGGAGATTGGAGAGATTAAACGAAATCTATTGAGGGGAATTTTGCGCAATAATTTATTTCTTCTTGAGAGAATGCACTGAGTTACCTTTGGTATTTTAGTATCACTAAATATTTGTTTTATGATAGCTTTAAATTCAAATTTCTTTGAATATAAAGAATCAATTCTTTGACAGTAGTGCGGCTATTATGAATTATCAGTTTATATATATTTTAATATATATTTTAAGAGATTGTATAAATATAAAACAATTAGGAAATTGATTTTTATTTCTGAATACTTCAATTCGGAATTTAGGCTCCAAATTGATAAAAAAATCCATAGATGAAAGGAAATCTGAAAAATTTTTAGCTGTATCTTCTAACTCTATGAGAAACGAAAAACATGCCTTTCTCGTAAAAATATACAGATATGACACATGACGATAAAATGGCTTTAAACCATTCAGAATCCTCGTGTTTTTTTTCTGTAAATTGTTTTTCTTTTTAATTGTTTTACCAATTATTAAATTTTTGATATACAACACGAAGGAGGAAACAGTGCGAAAAATGAGAGGCGGAGAGCAGTAAAATGAGATGATAGAAAAGAAGATAGAAAGTAATAGAGTGAAGAGTGGCAAGCGAGAGAGAAAGAGAAAGAATGGAGACAGAGATATACACAGTGAGGAACGGAGACACAATGGAAGCAATATGGATAGACAAAGATGAAAGAAGCTCTCCGTTGAGTCTGCTTAGAGGAAAGTAGATAGATCCGGATAGACTTATAAAAGGTCGCGCGTATCCGACGCAGATGGAAGTATCGATACTGCCGCGGCAGCGGCGTCGAATCATTGAACCACGTTTCGTCGTGGAGCGTCGATGTTGTCCCAACTAAAGGCAGGTGTTCCCAACATGCTCTAAATGAACCTGGAGATAAAGCCATAGTAAATGTAACTGGAATTGCGTAAGCTTGTTGGTAGTAAATCGTTTTTGTCGTATCAGCCTCTCTTACATCGCTTTAACGTTCTTGACGGGTGATCATAGTCAAAAGCACTTTGAAAGTGCTTCTGCATGCCTATTATGAAACCCCGTTAAATAAACTACTTTTAGAAAATGTAATTTCTCGTGCCTGTTCTTATTTAAATATTATTCGTCTATTTAGGTGAAATCTGTTTGATTAGTTGTTCCATCGGCGGAATTTAAATTATAGACTAAAGTTGAAAAGTTTTATTTCCGTTTAAACTTGTACAACTGAAAGTAGAATAAACATCACTGATAACAGCTATACAGTAACTATATTGCTTGATATCAAACAGAAGAGTACATTCTACTATTTTGATATTTTCTTCTTCGCTATCTAAAAATATTTGCCAGTGAAAACAAGATTGAAAAGTACCGATTTTAGATAATATCCTCATTCACAGGTTTTGATAAATTGAATTTTCTTGCTAAAGATATTTCGGATGATATACTGCGGTATATATTAAATTCATCGATATCAGAGCGGAATAACGCCAAATATGTCTTCGTCAGTGAAACGTACACGTCCCACTTTCGCTCCGCCACTGTCAGTTCGTATTAGCTTCATGCTGTGGTACAGAATCTAATACATTAAATTTATTTCAAACGATTCATGTTAAATATTCAAATCATCTTGTAATATAGTTATGCAA